GAGGAGGAGGAGGAGGAGGAGGAGGAGGAGGAGGAGCGGTTGCCACTGTCCTGGCCTATGGGGGCCCCGAGCAGAGCCCCCCCATGGCGCGCCACTGCTCGCGGCCCCAGGGGCCGCTGTTCCTGCCGGCCTCGAGCGTGCGGCAGGAGACGACCAGCCGCGCGCCCGGCGGCGGCGCCCCGAGCGGCACAGCGCCTGACACCGTCGCGCCGCGATCACATTCGCAACGTTGTTGTTGGTGCTGTTGTTGCTGTTGTGGTTGTTGTTGCTGTTGTTGTTGTTGTTGTTGTTGCTGCTGTTGTTGTTGTTGTTGTTGTTGGTGCTGTTGCTGCTGTGGTGTTAGTAATATTGTCCTTCTTCATCGCGCGTATGGACTACATCCCAGAAGTAATTTCGAGCACCCGGGAAAAAATCGAAACGGTCTTCCCGAAACGCGAACGACGTGTCGCACGAGTACAGCCTCCCAGGGGCACGACACTTGAACACCCTCCAGTTTGGGTGCCTTCCTGGTGCCCGAAGTTCTCCCTGGCGATCACTACTGAAGTAGGTTGGAACATCATGATCTTAGTTTTTGCTGTTCAGCTGCGTTTTGCATTCGCAATCGTAGTCTGTTAGCCGCCCTGGAAGGGCTGCCCTTCAGCCCGCCCCCCCCCCCCCCCGCGCGCTCGCCGCAGCCCCGCCGCGTGAGAGTGCCCCTGCGCCCGGCTGCTCTCCCTCCGCGGCCGCCCCCTCGCCTTCCTCCCCCCTCCCACGAGGAGGCCGAGGCCGCCGTCGTGGGGATCGGCGCCGACGAGGTGTTGGACTTCTTTGTGGGCTGGCCTTCGAGGGAGAGTCCGAGGAGCTGAGCGAGGGATCCGACGAGGGCCCGAGCGAGGGAGGCGAGGACGCCTACTGGACTGCTCAGGAGCGGATCGTGATCATCGGGTCCAACCCTCTAGTCATGGGGAGCTGGGCACAGTGGAATCGTCTTCACTATCGCCCTAAGGGACAAAACTCAGGCAGCTCGATGTTGTTGGTCGAGCGCGTGGGCAAGTCTTCGGATCAGACCTGGACCTGCGTGGACCCAAACTTCAAGGTGCAAATCGTTTCGTTGAAGGACACGTCTGCGGTTTCTACGACACTGCTTGCGGATGTCACGTGGGCGCCCCTCCTGGTCTAACTGAAAGAGCCGTGGCATGGTTCTTTCAGCCTGGCAGCGTCTTATCGTTCGTCGTGAACTGGACGCCCAGGATGTCAATACCACGCAGGCCAGAGACAAGAAAGGCAGAAATTTCGTGAAGCCGGGCAGCAAGAGGAATAACACCGCCGAGGGGGGCATGGCCAAGTGGATGCGAACACGTGTGTCCAATGCCTTCTTCTTCCGGCGGCCGCACCGCTTGTGGGGAAGTTTGGCGGGGGGATCCTCCTCCTCCTCCTTTTCCTCCTCCTCCGTCTCCTCCTCCTCCTCCTTCTTCTCCTCCTCCTCGTCTGCTGGCACATCTGGAAATCCTACTTGCCCTCTGGGCGTAGGAGGTTTCACGAGTCTTGCCTTCTCTCTCCCCCTCCCTCCCCTGCTCGGGGCAGGGATTCATAGCCCCCCCACCGTCTGTCAAACAACGGGGCAAGCTACACTCTTGGGCCACATATCGGATCAGCCCCGACCCGCGAGCACTTGGTATAGTCTTTTGGCAGGGGCGGCGGGGGGGGGAGTCATGTTGCCCGCTGTGCGCAAGGCCACCGCCCCTGTAAAACAAGCAAGACAGCATGCAATCCGCGGCTAGATCTGGATCACGCGCGGCCACCCCGCAATCCCTGTCCAGCGGGTAGTTTCTGACAAGGGCGGCGGGGGTGCTGGCATACTGCCTGCTTTGCGCAGGCCCAGCCGACACCATGATGGCCTTCTCGCCGCGATCGTGCAATGGTTTTCGACAAGGATGGTGGGGGCCGACAGGTTTCTCGATGTGTGCTGTCACCTACGCGGGCGCATCTGGCACACTCTGCGGGTGCACCGGACGTGGCGCACCGAGCGCGGCCGCACAATGCGGCGCACATGGCGCACGTGGCCTGGTGCGCCAGGCGTGCCTGGCACGCTTGGGTCCCAGGGGTGCATCGCGCAGCTGGCGCGCCTGGCACGCCAGGCACGCGGGGCGCAACTCGCCCCAGCATCGCGCACAGGGGGTCTGTGTTGGTTTCCAATACCTGGCCATCCATCGACGACCGCCGAACATGCTGAGGCTCGAATGCTACTTATGTGTTGGGATGGCGGGTGGAAGTGAGCGAGACAGCTTGCTGTCGCGGAGGGTGTCTTGACCCCCTCCTACTCCTTCCCCTGGGCCTGGGAGGGGGGGGTAGTTAGAGAGTCCAAGATGGCCAAGATGGCTCCAAGGGGGCCCTCGGCAGCCCAAGACGGTCTCCAAGATGGCTTAATATAGCCGAAGATGGTTCAACATAGCCGCCGACATACCCCACGAGTCTTCCTGGGGAGCCCGTTGGGCCGTCGAGTGCCAATCTTGGGCCATCTTGGGATCATCGTGGCCGTCTGAGGGCGCTCGTCGGGCCCTTCCTGAGGCCTCCTGGGGCTCTCCCGTCCCGTCTTGGGGCCATCTGGGGCCCTCCTAGGGCACTCTGGACACACAGGCTCCACGGCAGCCTGGAGTTGTGTCAGGTCAGCTTTCTATGTATACAGGTACTCACTTTGTGCATGTGTGTGTCTGTCTGTCTGTCTGTCTGTCTGTCTGTCTGTCTGTCTGTCTGTCTGTCTGTCTGTATGTATGTATGTATGTATGTATGTATGTATGTATTTATGTATGTACGTATGGATGTATGCATGTACATACGTACGTATGTATGTGTGTATATATATATATATATATGTAAATTCATATATTTATATGTCAAGCGCTCCGTGTTCGGCTTTTTCTGCACTATTCCGCCGCCTTTCTGGGCATTCCGCCTGCCCCCCTGAACGGGTTTTCAGACCGTCACCTAGACTGGCTCCGAGTAGATGGTCTGTGTAGACTTGTTTTTTTGTGTTTTGCCGTGCTCGGCCTCTTGGGGCCCTTGGCCCGGGCCGTCAGAAAACAGCTCGGGCGGCTGAAAACCCGTGCCGGGGGGAGGGGTCCAGACCTCTGGGGTCCACGTTGTGAAAAGTCACGGCGCCAGATGTCTGGGGAGCCTGGCGAGACGCGCTGCTCGTAGAACAGCGACCCTGGCCGCACCGCGCACTCGCAGTGCTTGCCGGCGTTCATGCGCGGCTTCGTGCCGAGCTCCTCGTTGTTGCACCTGCGGGCCTGCTCCTGGGCCGGGAACTCCTTCCAGACATCGTCGTTGCCCCAGCGGATCCGGCCAGGGCACGCGCAGTACATCGACTCCCCCGCGCAGTACGCCCAGATCTCCTCGCTGCCGGCGCCCACCGGCACGGCGGGCGCATCCGCGGGCCTCGGCTTCTACTGTTCCCATCGTGCTCAAAGGACCACGTTCCAAACATAAATTTCGAGCGCCCAGAAAAGTATCGAAACAGTGTCTGGCCGACACGCTGGCGAAGTGTCGAACGAGTATCGCCTCTCAGGGCGCCACACGCGAAAACCCTTCAGCTTCGATACCTTCTTGGTGCTCCGATTTTTTAGTCTGGCGGTCAAGGCTAAAGTAGGCTGGAACATCTAAAGCCTCGGCGCAATCTCGCCAGCAACAGCTGCCGTGCCCGCCGCCACGGCAGGAGCACCTGCGGGCCTCGGCGCAGCCTCGGCGGCAGCAGCCGCTGCGCCGCCTGGCGCGGGCGCGGGCGCCGGCGCCGCCAGGCCGCCCGCGGCCGCGCCGCGGGCGGGAAGCTGCGCCTGGGCCAGCAGCACGTGGCGCAGCGCGGCCAGCACCGCCGCCGCGCCGGCCGCGCCGAGGGCCCGGCGGGCGCGGCAGAGCCGCCGCCAGAAGGCGGGCCCCTTCGCCCTCGCGGACGCCATGCCGCCGCGGGCATGCTCCTAGGCGGCGCCGCGGCACATGTGCGGCTCGACGCCGGCTGCGGAGAGCGGCCCGGGCCCCAAGAGGCTACGGGAAGCGAGGCCGGTGCCGCTCGCCTCTGCACTCGACGTGTCAGGAGGGGGCCAAGCGAGTTTCAAGGTCTACGGTGTCCCTGCTTGAGTGGTTGAAGTTTCCCCCCCCCCCCCCCAGAGAAGACACGTGGTGATGACAACTGCCAGCTTCCCAACTGGATGGGACAATGACTCCACCAAGCAAGCCTAGAGTGGCTGAAGTTGGCAGAGAGCATGCGGCGTTAACTATGAACTTTCGGAGGTCCGCGCGGACTTTTTGCATCAGCAGCGGCACTGCGCGCGGAGCGCGGCTCAGGCGGCGCCGGAGGCGCCGCGAAGGAGTACCAGCGCCGATCCGAAAAATCTGCGCGGACCTTCGAACATTCAGGTTCGTGCGATTTTGTCTTTGAGTTGCGTGGCCGAAGTGGCGTTCCGCGGTGCGGGCTCTCGCTGCACGCCGTGGCCCCGCGGCACGCACCGCCACCCGCCGCGTGGCTCGCCAGCGAGCCTCCTCCGACCTGCCAACGACCCGCTCGCTCACGACCTGGGCCCCCCGCGACCTGCGCCTCCTGCGCTCCTTCTTGCGCTTCCCGCGCCGCGCCCCGGATGATCCAACACGCTCGGGAACTTGTGGGCAGCGTGTCGCCACGGCGGCTTTGGCGACACGCTGTGCCCTGCGAGTGGAGTGCGTGTCGCTCCGCTTCACTAAAGGGAAAGTAGGACACACAAATAAATACACACAAATAAAAATAGTCCCCATATTTTCCTATATTTTCTGGGTTTTTGTCTTCCCCCCCAATTCCCATATTTTCCCATATTTTCCTGGGAATCGAGGATTAATTGTGTCTGTGTGTTTCTTCCCCTCCTGATTCACGGGACGGGGGGCAGGGAACGGCTCGGCACGTGGACGCCTGGGGACCGCGACGCGGAGAGAGCGTCGCGCCGAAGCGTGGTGGATCAGAGCCGGCGGAGCGACTCGCGACCCGAAGATTCCCGACCGTAGCCTCCGACAGCCCTCCACGAGCCAGCCATGGGGGCGCAGGGCGCGGAGACCCGCACCCCCCCAGGAAACGGGGACCGCCGCTTGGGCGGTCCCCGCTTCCTGGGGGGTGAGGGAGGAGGAGGAGGAGGAGGAGGAGGAGGAGGAGGAGGAGGAGGAGGAGGAGGAGGACGAGGAGGAGGAGGAGGAGGTCGAGGAGGAGGAGGAGCAGGAGGAGCAGGAGGAGCAGGAGGAGCAGGAGGAGGAGGAGGTGGAGGAGCAGCCCTCGACACGCATGCGGCCGCCCCGAGCAGCCCGCGAGGCTCTCGAGGGACAGGCTGGCCAGGAGGCGTCCCAGCGCCCCGCGCGCCCCCACGCGCCCCCAGAGCGGCACACGAGGCCCCAGAACCTCCGCCCCAGACACCCGCCGACGCGTTTTGCTTCGGCCCGCGGGCCCCCAGGAAGGTCTCGACCCTTTCCCCCGGGGGGGGGTAGCACGTCGTCCCGAATCAACGTGGTTGACGGCCCTGGGGCCCAAATCGGCGGTGGACAAACCTCCCGTTAGTGAACCTCCCCTTAGTGAAAACGACCTAGGGCCGAAATCGACGGACCTGGACCAGCAAAAATGACGGCCGCGACGCCCTCTCGCGAACCGAAAACGGCCAATTCCTTAATCGACGTGTCAGGGTGGGAGGGCTGTCCACCTCCGACCAAGAAGGGCCCCGGCACCCAGGAGGCCGACATCGATGAACAAACGCTGGGACCGAAAAGCCACGACGTCGGATATCTGTCCCCCCCCTCCAATCCCTCACTCCAGCTCCCAAGATACACCATCGTGTCCCACCCCTCCCTCCCTCCCTCCCTCCCTCCCTCCCCCCCTCCCTCCCCCCCCGCCCCAAGAAACGCTGACGCTCTCCGACGCCGGCGCGAGGCGGCGCTCGGCGAGCCCTCTCTCGGGAGCGGCCAAGAGGGGGGTGTCCAAGAGGGGGGGGTGCAAATCATGACCGGCGGCATGTGCGCGGCCCAGCGGGGGGGCCAGGGACATAATGAAATAAGAAGAGGCGCCATGAAATCTGGGGAGATATCATGGCCCGCGCCATGATATCCACCCCCCCCTAGTCATCACCCCCCTCTTTTCCGCCCCCGACTCTCCTTCTGGCGATTGAGCATCCAGGCCGGGATCTTGAACTGCAGCGGGCTGCTGGCGACCGCCACGATCTTGTTCACCTCTCGCGGGCGGGGGCGGTGAGGAAGGGCGGCGCCGCGCCAGCGGGCGCGGGGGCGGTGGGTGGGTGGATTTAATCAGCCTCGAACATCTTCCTATCCGTAAGATCGACAAGCCTAAAGCGATGACGATCTCAGGGATGTGCCCTCAGAAACCGAGGGAGTCCTCAAGATCGGTCCCGAGGCGAGATGATGCTGAGCATAGGAATCGGGATTTGGATACGCTTCACGGTGGCAAGAATTGGTTCGCGGCGGGCGCAAGAGGGGATATCGCGGGGGGGTATCGAAGCAGCTGCATCCAGCTGGTCTTCCCTGCGCCGGAAGCGGCCGTGGGACGAGCGTGGGTGGCGGCTGGGCCGCAACCAGCTGCAGGCAGCAGGTGTCGCCCGCCCCCCCTCGCCCCCTGTTCCAGTCGGGCCGCCCCGTCCCACTCCTCCGACCCCACCAGTGCCAAAGACTCGGGCACTGCATCCGCTTCATTACGCACAGCACCCGGCCGGAGGAGGGGGAGGAAGAGGGGG